TTTTTTTGGGACAGTCTCACTTTGTAGCCCAGGTTGAAGTACAGTGGTTTGATCTTGGCTCACTACAACTTCTGTCAAGGAATTCTCCTGCCTCAGCCTCCCCAGTAGCTGGGATTATAGGCATGTGCCACCACGCCTGGCTAATTTTTGTATTTTTATTTTAATTATTATTTTGAGAGAGAGTTTCACTCTTGTTCCCCAGGCTGGAGTGCAATAGCACCATCTTGGCTCACCACAGCCTCCACCTCCCAGGTTCAAGCTGTTCTCTTGCCTCAGCCTCCCTTGTAGCTGGAATTACAGGCATGCGCCACCATGCCCAGCTAATTTTGTATTTTTAGTAGAGATGGGTTTCTCCATGTTGGTCAGGCTAAGCTGGTCTCAAGCTCCTGACCTCAGGTGATCTGCCCACCTTGGCCTCCCAAAGTGTTAGGATTACAGGTGTGAGCCATCGTGCCCAGCCCCATAATTGTTATTCTGTTTTGTTGATGCACAGTTTGTTTTCATAAAACTGTTAACGCTTTTTTTTTAGTTGAGTTCTCACTTTGTCGCCCAAGCTGGAGGGCAATGGGATGATCATGGCAGCTTTGATCTGCTCAAGTGATCCTCCTTCCTCAGCCTGTTAAGTAGCTAGGACTGCAGGCATGCACCAATATGCCTGGGTAGTTTTTTGAAGTTTTTTTGTGTGTGTAGAGATGGAGTCTTGCTATGTTGCCCTGGCTGGTCTGGAACTGCTGGCCTTGAGCAGTTCTCCCACCTCAGCCTCCCAAAGTGTTGGGATTACAGGTGTGAGTGGTCATGCCCAGACAAAACTACTTTTTGAATACTTAATGGACTTGGTATACATAGTATAGAGACTAAAAATATTAACAAAATCATTGGTTAGCTATGTTCAGTATCAAAATCCATACATAGCCATATATCTGGAGAAGACTATCATTATCTAATGATGTACCTAGTATCTGCTTAAGTGTTTTCTTTATAGTAGGGATATCTTTTTTTGTGTTGCGGGAGGGGATAATGGGTGATTTTTATTTTCTCCTTTTTCATAGTGGATATCTTGACCTATGTGGCTTGGAAGATAAGTGGCTTTCCCAAAAACCGTGTTATTGGAAGTGGTTGCAATCTGGATTCAGCCCGATTCCGTTACCTGATGGGGGAAAGGCTGGGAGTTCACCCATTAAGCTGTCATGGGTGGGTCCTTGGGGAACATGGAGATTCCAGTGGTAAGCATAAATTATTTTCTTTTTGTTTTCAAAAAGATTATGTAAAAAGTCGATGGGCGTTTTATTAAATTAGAGCCTAATCAAATATCCATTCAGTAGGGTAGAATGGTTTCCCAAAATCTACCATTTTGTGTAATTACATGTTAAGAATTGGTAAGATTGCTGCCATTTTGTATGACATTTTATGGTGAGGGGGATGGGGAATGAAATTTCTCTTCTTAACCATGGATATCTTAAGACTATAGTTTTTAGGATGACTTTAGTCGTTTAGTATCACAGATGTTTATACTTGACTTGTACTGTCTGGCCCTGAAAAGGTCAGCAAATCCAAACGGAGTGTACAAAAAATTATATTATTATCACAGTTGAAATGTTATGATTTGGTTAGAGTTCTATATGCTAAGAAAAAATTCCCCTTATGTTCTCATACCGTCTTTATATTTCAAATATGTATGGGTTAAACATTTTAATTGGTTAGAGAAACAGGTTAGAATACAGTGAAAATACTTAGTTTTATATAATGTAAATAAATGAAAATCTAATCTAAAAGTCAGTAGTGACTACATCAGTAGTCTTGACCATCTACCAAAATTGGGTATTCCTCCTTCAAAGATAAGAGAATTAGAAAAATGAATCACAGTTACTAATCTGCTGGTGCGTGGAAATAAATGTAATCTGTACAATTTCTTCTAGTGCCTGTATGGAGTGGAGTGAATGTTGCTGGTGTCTCCCTGAAGACTCTGCACCCAGATTTAGGGACTGATACAGATAAGGAACAGTGGAAAGAGGTTCACAAGCAGGTGGTTGAGAGGTAATAAATCTTCTAATTTGGCAACACAGAAGATTAAAATTTACTGTTTAAAAGGTTAAAATTGTAATAGCATTTGCATTTGAGAACTTTTTTTTTCAAGATGGAGTCTTGCTATGTTGCCTAGGCTAGAGTGCAGTGGCATAATCTCGGGTCACTGTAACCTTCACCTCCTGGGTTCAAGCGATTCGCCTGCCTCTGCCTCTTGAGCAGCTGGGATTACAGCTGTGTGCCACCACCCGGCTAATTTTTTGTATTTTTAGTAGAGATGGGGTTTCACCATGTTGGCCTGGCTGGTCTTGAACTCCTGACCTTGTGGCCTGCCTGCCTCAGCCTCTCAAAGTGCTGGTATTACAAGCATGAGCCACTGTGCCTGGCCTTTTTAAAAATTATTATTATTTTTTGAGACAGAATCTCTGTCACCCAGGCTGGAATACAGTGACAATCTCGACTCACTGCAGCCTCCGCCTCTTGGGTTCAAGCGATTCTCCTGCCTCAGCCTCCAGAGTAGCTGGGACTACAGGTGCATGCCACCACACCTGACTAATTTTATGTATTTTTAGTAGAGACTTTGGTAAAGGGGTTTAACCGTGTTAGCCAGGATGGTCTTGATCTCCTGACCTTGTGATACGTCTGCCTCAGCCTCCCAAAGTGCTAGGATTACAGGCGTGAGCCAGTGCGCCCAGCCTGTAGTTTATTTTTTGATAGCTGTGTAATATTTCATTATATCAGTATACTACGATTTATCTATTCTTCTGTTGGAGAGCATTGGAAAGATTGCCATGTTTTTGCTGTTGCTAACAGTACTGTTAATGAATATCCCTGTCATTATATGCTGGTATACATGTGGAAAGGTTATTCTTGGTATAAGGTAACATTGTGTCATTAATCACTGTAAAAACGTGTTTAATGAAAGCTTTGTTTTTCTTTCTTTCTCCCACCCTACTTTTTCTGCCTTTACCTATGGTTTCCTACCCTACAGTGCTTACGAGGTGATCAAACTCAAAGGCTACACATCCTGGGCCATTGGACTCTCTGTGGCAGATTTGGCAGAGACTATAATGAAGAATCTTAGGCGGGTGCACCCAATTTCCACCATGATTAAGGTAGGTCTGTGTAGCAATACACTGTATTTGAATGCTTTTTCCTGGCTTTTTAAGAAAGATTTAATTTGACTACAAAAAAGTCTCACTCAGTTATGCTGAGGTAGGTAGAAGACTATATATTCAAGTTAGGGTCATCATGTTGCTATTTTTAAAGACGGGGTTTCACCATTTTGGTCAGGCTGGTCTTGAACTCCCGACTTCAGGTGATCTGCCTGCCTTGGCCTCCAAAGTGCTTGGATTACAGGCATGAGCCACCACACCCCACAATGACTTTCTTTTACACTATTACATCATAACATCTGGAAAGGAATTTCTGCTTACCGAGCTGTATTTTAAAATCTTCATAATTAGGTCAGGCACAGTGGCTCACAGCTGTAATGCCAGCACTTTGGGAGGTCAAGAAGGGCGGGAGAATTGCTTGAGCCCAGGTGTTTGAGACCACCCTAGGCAGTATAGTGAGACCTTGTCTCTATTTTTAAAAAAATGCTTCATCAGGATAGAAAAAAAATGCTAGGTGAGGTGGCTCACACCTGTAATCCCAGCACTTTGGGAGGCCAAGGGGTGGATCACCTGATGATCAGGAGTTCAAGACCAGCCTGACCAACATGTTGAAACCCTGTCTCTACTAAAAATACACAGCTGGGTGTGGTGACGCATGCCTGTAATCCCAGCTACCTGGGAGGCTGAGGCAGGAGAATCACTTGGACCCAGGAGACGGAGGTTACAATGAGCCACGTTAGCACCATTGCACTCTAGTATAGGCAGCAAGAGTGAAACTCCATCTCAGAAAAGAAAAGGCAGTCCAGCTCTGTGGCTCATGCCTGTAATCCCAGCACTTTGGGAAACCAAGGTGGGTGATCACGAGGTCAGGAGTTCAAAGCCAGCCTGGCCAACGTGTTGAAATCCTGTCTTTACTAAAAGTACAAAAATTAGCTGGGCAAGGTGGCACAGCCAGGAGGCTGAAGCAGGAGAATCACCTGAACCTTGGAGGTGGAGGTTGCAGTGAGCTGAGATTATGCCACTGCACTCCAGCCTGGGTGACAGCGAGACTGCCTCAAAAAAAAAAAAAGCCTCATAATTAATAGAGAATGTAAGTCTTGGGAAACCCTGGAATGCATAGGCAAAATGTAAAATATTTTTCATTTCATCTTCAGGGTCTCTATGGAATAAAGGATGATGTCTTCCTTAGTGTTCCTTGCATTTTGGGACAGAATGGAATCTCAGACGTTGTGAAGGTGACTCTGACTNAGGGTCTCTATGGAATAAAGGATGATGTCTTCCTTAGTGTTCCTTGCATTTTGGGACAGAATGGAATCTCAGACGTTGTGAAGGTGACTCTGACTCCTGAGGAAGAGGCTCGTTTGAAGAAGAGTGCGGATACACTTTGGGGGATCCAAAAAGAGCTGCAATTTTAAAGTCTTCTGATGTCATACCATTTCACTGTCTAGGCTACAACAGGATTTTAGTTGGAGGTTGTGCATTTTGTCCTTTTTATCTGATCTGTGATTAAAGCAGTAATATTTTAATATGGACTGGGAAAAACATCAATTCCAGAAGTTAGAAATAGGAATGGTTTGTAAAGTCCTACAGCTATATTCTGATGCTGGATAGTGGTAACCTTGTGTAGTCCTAAACTGGTTAGTGTGAAATAGTTCTGCCACCTCTGAGGCACCACTGCCAATGTTGCACATGCTGCAGTTGCCCCTTGAGCCAGAGAGATGTTCCTTTGTTATGTAACTTCCTGGCTCCTTCACTGAACATGCTAGTCCAACATTTTTTCCCAGTCAGTCACGTCCTGGCATTCGGTGTATAGATCCAATATTGCATGTCTTGTTCCAAAGGATCTAATTTTGTGAACTATATATATCAGTAGTGTACATTACCATGCAATGTAAAAAGATCTACATATAAACAATGCAACCAACTATCCAAGTGTTACACCAACTAAAATTACCCCCAATAAACCTTGAACAGTGACTACTTTTGTTAATTCATTAAGATATAAAGTCATAAGCTGCCAGTTATTCATTATATTATTAGGCTATTGGGTAACCCTGCAATGATTTTTTTAAAAGGGGATATTAATTACTAATAGCAGAAAAGGTAACAACAGAATTGTTTTGGTACCACTTCCATTAAAATGGATAGTTTTAATATATTAAGTCCCAAAGTATTATATGAGATATTTGATAATCATGCTAATCATAATTGGAAAGTAACATTCTATATGTGAATGTAAAATTTATTTGCCAGCTGAATATAGGCAATGGTACTTTGTCACTACAGGGAACACAGATTTTCTTTGCCCTCTGGAAGCCAGTAACAAAAACAATTTTAAGGTGGGGTGCATTGGCTCATGCCTGTAATCCCAGCACTTTGGGAGGCCAAGGTGGGCTGATCACTGAGGCCAGGAGTTAGAGACCAGCCCAGCCAACAATGAAATCCCATTTCTTTTCTTTTTTTTTTTTTTTTTGGGGACGGAGTTTCGCTCTTGTTACCCAGGCTGGAGTGCAATGGCACGATCTCGGCTCACCGCAACCTCCACCTCCTGGGTTCAGGCAATTCTGCCTCAGCCTCCTGAGTAGCTGGGATTACAGGCACGCACCACCATGCCCAGCTAATTTTTTGTATTTTTAGTAGAGACGGGGTTTCACCATGTTGACCAGGATGGTCTCGATCTCTTGACCCTCGTGATCCACCTGCCTCGGCCTCCCAAAGTGCTGGGATTACAGGCTTGAGCCACCATGCCCGGCCAGAAATCCCATTTCTTTAAAATAAAATAACAAGTATCCTTGGTGGTTGTCTACTCAAGTTTTCTTTACAATTTTTCTAAAAATATAACTGGGACCCTTATCCAGGCCTGAAAACCATACTTGTAAAGATTAACTGGACAACATTATTGTCATCCCCAACTCCAGGGTCTTTTTCCAAAGATTCTTTCCTGAGAGCCAGTTAAGGAATTATCTCAAAACATGGTTTTCCAACCTTTTGCTTTGCCTGAGCCACTTTGGAAGAAGTGTCTTGGGCCACACATAAAACACACTCACCAGGCACGGTGATTGACACTTGTAATCCCAGCACTGGGAGAGGCCGAGGTCGGTGGATCACTTGAGGCCAGGAGTTCAAGACCAGTATGGCCAACGATGGTGAAACCCCATCTCTGCTAAAAATAGAACAATTAGCTGGGTGTAGTGGCCTGTGCTTGTAGTACCAGCTACTTGGGAAGCTGAGGCACAAGAGGCTGAGGTGGCTGGTGATCAGGGAATGAACTGGTGATAAACCCACAAGAGACTGCAGTGAACCCAGATGGTGCCACTGCACTTGAGCCTGGGCAACAGAGCAAGACTGTCTCAATAAAAATTAACACTTCCAATAGCTGATAAGCTAAAAAAAAGTTCATGCATAATCTTCCTGATATCTGCCACCACAGATAAGCAAAAGAGTCCTCACATTCAAAAGGTTGGGCACATCTATAAAGTATAATTCTGTGGACTTTTAGTGTATTCGCATAGTTGACAACCATCACCAATATCTAATCTTAGAATACAAGCTGGGTGCAGAGGATCACACTTGTAATCCCAGCACTTTAGGAGGCCAAGGCGGGTGGATTGCTTGAGCCCAAGCGTTTGATACCAGCCTGAGCAACATGGCAAAACCCTATCTCTACAAAAATTTCCTGGATATGGTGGCGGGCACGTGCAGTCCTAGCTGCACAGGAGGCTGAAGTGGGAGGATCCCTTGAGCCCAGAAGGCAGAGGTTGCAGTGAGCCGAGATTATGCCTCTGTACTCCAGTCTGGATGACAGTGAGATCCTGTCTCAAAAAAAAACAAAAAACAAAAAAAGAACATTTTAATTAGCCCAAAAAGAAGCCTGTACTTACTCCTGGAGCCTTTTGTAAACTTTGAGGCAACCTTCAGTCTTTAAAATTTTTTAAATTTACATTAATTTCATATTATTTGATACAATAAATATCAACATGACTGAAAACACTTAAGTGAAATAGACTGATTCTATTAGTCTTTCATGAGTTTTCAAATGGAATCTTGTAAAGCTTCCTTACTTACGGGCAAAATTTTTTTTTTTTTTGAGACAGGGTCTCACTCTGTCCCCCATGCTGGAGTGCAGGGGCACCATCTCTCCTCACTGCAACCTCTGCTTCCCAGGTTCAAGGAATTCTCCTGCCTCAGCCTCCCGAGCATCCGGGACTGCAGGCGCGCACCACCACACCCAGCTAATTTTTGTATTTGTATTTGAAACAGACGGGGTTTCACCATATTGGTCAGGCTGGTCTTGAACTCCTGACCTCGTGATCCGCCCGCCCTGGTCTCCCAAAGTGCTGGGATTACAGGCGTGAGCCACCGCGCCTGAGAAGTTAATAATTTTTTTAAATCCTGCAAATAATGCATCCCCGTCTTGCACACTCTTTGGGTCAGTCTAGAAATCTTTGCATCATTTCCCTGATCTGGACCGCCGCAACCCACACAGCTCCCCGGCCTGGAGAAGTCCATGTGCCTGCGCCTGTTGCGGGAAGTGGGGCGGAGCTTGCGTGCTGACGCAGGAGAGCCGTGCGTGGGAGCGTGCGCGCCTCGAGACAGGCGAAGGGTAACCGTCGCCGGGCTTTGCGCTTCAACTGTCGTTAGTGTATTTTTCTGTTGTCACTTCTGTGTCTTCCTTCAAGGTGGTTCCTTGCCCTTTTGGGTCATCTGTACTGCGCCAAGCCAAGCATTTGTGAGCGTGTGGTGCTGGGGTGAAAGTGGGGGCTGGGGACGGAGAGAAATCCAAAAGCCCGGTGGTGCCCCAGCCTTCTCATTGCCTGGTAGGCTGGGCCTTGCTTTACCTTCCCCGCACCCTTGACCAGGAGATACTTTCTTTGGTTTCCCTCCACCCCGGCTCCACCATTCTGCAAACTGAAGAGGCTGTTCCTTAGATGTTCAGTGTGGTTAACACATCGTAGCTGTGAGAGTGATTAATTTAGGGAGTTCGATTCCATTGAAGTTGCGTTATCCCTATCAGGTTCTCCAAATGTCAACTGTCAAGGAGCAGCTTATTGAGAAGCTAATTGAGGACGATAAAGACTCCCACTGTAAAATTACCATTGTTGGAATTGGTGCCGTAGGCATGGCTTGTGCTATTAGCATTTTACTGAAGGTGAGTAAGAAGCCCATCCTGTGGCTGAAAATCAAGTGAGCACTTCAAAGTCTTGGAGATGTCAATTCATTCAGGGTTGCAGGGTTAATCCCTTGAAAGCAGATCTGTATCCTCTTATCTGGCCTGCCCACCCGCCAGCTCGGCCTCGCTTCCTTCTTTCCCCTTCCCCCATCCTTTTTCTTTCCCTCCCTCCCTCCTTCCCTCCCTTCCTCCCTTCCTCTCTTCCTCTTTCCTTTTCTTTCTTTTCTTTCCTTCTTTTCCTTCCTTCCCTCTTCCTTCCTTCCTTTCTCTCTCTCTATTAAAAACGCGCGCTTTGAATGAAGAGATTCCCCCAAACAGGCTTTGTGTGAGCAACATGGCTGTTTATTACCTGGGTGCAAGTGGGCTGAGGCCGAAAAGGGCGTTAGGAAAGGGCAGTGGGATAGAAGTTGGTTTCTTAGGTTTGGGGTGGGCAGTGGAAAATTACAGAGTAAGATCAGTTACAGTGGTTGGGGGAGGGGCAAGGACTATACATTACTGTGAGTTTAGTTACAATGGCAGGTGGGATAAGAGTAGTTAAGATGATAGGGTGGGGTGAGGGGCTTCACCGGGGAAGCTTCACTGGGCGATTAGGGACAATGGCGAATGCGGGGTGGGGATAGGGGGTGGGGCTTGGGGGGGGCTTGGGGGGTGGAGGCGGGGCCTGGGTGGGGGCGGGGCCTGGGGGGATGGGAGACAATCAGCCATGGCAAGCAAGACTTCAGACTTTCAGGCTCCAGGCTTGACACTCCTTTTCTCTTTTCCTTTTCGTCTTTCTTTTCTCTTCTCTCCTTTCTTTTTCTGACTTTCCTTTTTCGAGACAGGGTTTGTCTGTTGCCCAGGCTGGAGTGCAGTGGTGCAGTCTTGTTCCCCTGCAGTGTCCACCTCCCAGGCTCAAGCGATTCTCCTGCCTCAGCCTCTTGAGTAGCTGGGGCCTCAGGCACTCACCACCAGGCTTGGCTAATTTTTTGTATTTTTAGTAGAGACAGGGTTTACCATGTTGGCCAGACTGGTTTTGAACTCGTGACCTCAAGTGATCCACCTGCCTTGGCCTCCCAAAGTACTGGGATTACAGGCATGAGCCATGATGCCTGACTGCCAATAGGTATTTTTTTAACCCTGGTCCCCTCCCTTCCTCTCTGCTTTTGGAGTTCCCAGTGTTTGCTGTTCCCATCTTTATGTCCATTTATACCCAGTGTTTAGCTCCCATTTAAAAGCGAGAACATGCAGTATTTGGTTCTCTGTTTCTGCATTAATTCACTTAGGATAATAGCTTCCAGCTATACCCATGTTGCTGCAAAGAACATGATTTTGTTCTTTTTCATGGCTGTTGAATATTCAGTATTCCATGGTATATATGTACCACTTTTTATCCAGTCCACCATTATGGGTGCTTAGATTTATTCCGTGTCTTTGTTATTATGAATAGCGCTGGGAGAAACATGCTAGTGTAGGTGTCTTTTTGGCAGAACATAATTCTAACTTTCTGTACTTTATGATGCTGGTGGTGGATCTCTGCACATTTTCTTCCTTGCCAGTTGGCATCTTCTCAGATTCTGCCAATAGAGGTCACCAGAGGGAAGTTGGAAGGTAAGAGCAGAGGAGAAGAGACCTCCTTGTTTGCTTATTGTTCTGGTTACTGTCATCCCAACTGTACCTCTTTGTTGAAATTAGGTTGGTTCTAACCTCCATCTTCTTTTGGAACTCCCAACATTGGCCTCATCATGTCTGCCCAGCAGTGTCAGCAGCAACCAGGTTTTGCCTTCTTCAGGTGTCTGAACATAGCTCCATGAAACACTTCCAGTAGTCTCTCTGTTCTGTCACCCTTAGGGGTGTTAGCTTCTAACTACAGTTGCTGTGTCTGGATTACCTCATATGTTCCCTTTTTGCTCTTTCAGAACTCCAACTGCTAGCTAATGCCCTATATTAAATTTCCTCTGTTGAAATGCTTAGAGTGGTTTCCATTTTTCTGACCAAACCCAGACAGAGACACGGACTGATATAAAAATTGACCTATAAACATGATCTGTTTTTTTGTTTGTTTTTTGTTTTTCTTGTTGAGACAAGGTCTGGCTCTGTTGCCCAGGCCAGAGTGCAGTGGTGCAATCTCAACTCACTGCAGTCTCTACCTCCCAGTTTCAAAGCCACCCTTCCACCTCAGTCTCCTGAGTAGCTGGGACTATAGGCACACACCACCATACCCGGCTACTTTTTGTAGAATCAGGGTTTTGCCATGTTGCCCAGGCTGGTCTTGAACTGGTGAGCTCAAGTGATTCTCTTGCCTTGACCTCCCAAAGTGTTGGGATTACAGTCATGAGCCACTGCACCCTGCCAAATATCATCTAGGTTGTTTGTGCACAATTCTGTCTTCTTTTCTTTCTTTCTCTCTTTCTTTTCTTTTTTTTTTTTTTTTGATAGGATCTCACTCTGTCACCCAGGCTGGAGTGCAGTGGTGCAATCATAGCTCACTGCAGCTCAACCTCCTGGGCTCAAGTGATCCTCCCACCTCAGCCTCCCACATAGCTGGGATTACAGGCATGCACCACCATGCCTGACTAATTTTTTGTAGAAACAGGGTTTCACCATGTTGCTCAGGCTGGTCTTGAACTCCTGAGCTTAAGCAGTCTGCCACTTTGGCTTCCCAGAGTGCTGGATTACAGGTGTGAACACCTGGCTGGCTTTCTTATCAATTAGCTAAGAAGTGTTAATGTGATCCTTCTAGATGAAACTTCTTATCCTCCTCCCATTCATGATACATAACACATTATTTAGTAAATTTTAGGATATATGGTTTTTCAGAATGGCCAAATGGTACCTGATCTAAGAAAAAAACAGTAGTAAGTAGGGACTTTTATCTCTTTCCCTTGCTGTTCCTTTGGAATCTGGCCACTGGCATCTGAAGCACTATATAGTTCTGTACTCTGTTGCATGTGACAAAAACCCAATTCAAATTCGGTTAAGCAGAAAGAGGAAATAGGGCAGAAATAGCTTCAGGTACTACTGGATTCTGAAGTTCAGACATATCAAGACATAGTCTTTGCAAATCTTGGTTTAGATTTTCTCTGTTGGCTTAATTCTTGGAGTCTTTCTGTGTGGTGGTAAAGATGGCTGTACAGTTTGTTCTTTCATTCTTGTTTTTTTCCTTCCAACTCTACAGTCATTACTAAGGTTCTTGGATTTGCATGTCATTCTTAGAGCTTATGATTCTGAAGAAAAGTGAGATGTAATCTTCCATCTTCCATTTTCAAACTTTATAGACATACTTGTTTCTTATACCTGGACCATATGTCCACTTATAAACTGATTTCTGTCACCAGAAGGAAAAGATGGAACAATTGGCTAGGTCTGGTTTTAATGCCCATCTACTCCAAGGTTGGAGGACTGATGTTAACTGTACTGCACTGAACCACTTGGAATAGATTCCCATGGAAAAGAGGAATTCTATTACCAGGGACAGTAGACAGATGAAATTAAGTGTTCACCAGAGGTGGTTACCTTTCTGTTTGGGCCATAAGGATGCATACTAAAAGCAGCTTTGGCCAACTCAGAAATAAGGCTTAAGGTTAAATATAATAAAATCCTGGCAGGGCACGGTGGCTCAAGCCTGTAATCCCAGGACTTTGGGAGGCCGAGGCAGGCGGATCACTTGAGGTCAGGAGTTTGAGATCAGCCTGACCAATGTGGTGAAACTCCATCTCTACTAAAAATACAGAAATTAGCCAGACGTGGTGGGTGCATATAATCCCAGCTACTCAGGAGGCTTGAACCTGGGAGGCAGAGGGGTTGCA